ACCCCCCCCTTCTCCCTCCCCCGCAGAAGCCGATCCTGCTGCAGGGCCACGAGCGCTCCATCACGCAGATCAAGTACAACCGCGAGGGAGACCTGCTCTTCACCGTGGCCAAGGACCCCGTGAGTGCGGCTTCCCCGTCACCCCCGGGGGGGACTGTCTTCCCTCCCCCGCCCGCGTGTGCGGTGACAAAAAGTCGCGATAATTGAGCAAAAAGGGGTCGGCTCTTCGCGGGCCTCGCTAGTCCCTCAAGGTAGTGTGTGAGGGGAGGGCTTGACTGTCGTCTTCTCCCAGATCGTCAACGTCTGGTATTCGGTCAACGGAGAGCGGCTGCTTGTCCTGGCTGTGCTTTCCTCTCAGCTGTGCTCGCTGCTTCTGCTGACCAGGCCCTGGGAGTTCTGAGAGGGTGCCCGAGTTGCACAAGATCTTCTGTCTCTAATGCCAGCAGCAGATAACAGAGGTAGCAGCGTGCAAAGGTTATGTTACTCTGGGAACTGGAGCCTTTAATGCTTCAAGTAAAAAGTTTTGGGGTTTGCAGTAGGAGCACTTGGACTTGGTGTCTGTCCGTACTGAAGTACTGCCAGTCCTGGAATGGAAGTTGCTCAGTCTGCAATTTCTCTGTGTAGTAAGGCTTTTTTATCTTGTGAATAACCGCTAGCTGTGTATATAGACAGTAGCTTTTGGGGGCTGGGAACGTGTTGATATTCCCTAACTGATGATGCAGGGGACACACGGCATGTGCTCACTGGCTCTGCAGACAACAGCTGTCGGCTCTGGGACTGTGAAACAGGTAAGACCTTCTCCCCACGCTGTTGTTTTTGATTCTCAGTTCTGCCTTGCTGTGAAGTTTGCTAGCAGTGCATGGTGGCAGCGTAAGGTGAAGGTGTCTGTTTAACCCTCTGAAAGAGGTCTGAGTTCTGGCTCAAGACTGCTTGAGGAAAGGGTTTGCTTATGGTCCTGGTCTCTAATGAACATTTAGTTAAATTACTCACCTCGCCGCCCAAGTCGTCAGTGCACGCTTAGTGCTTGCAGGTCACCGAACCTGCTCATCAGCCTGTCGGATGCTCTCACAGTTGCTCTAACCTTGTAGTTAAACTGAGCATTTTCATTAATCTTGCCATGAGAACCTGGTGAGGTGACCCTTTCTGCCCTGTGTTTAGGAAAGCAGCTTGCTTTGGTGAAGACCAGCTCAGCTGTGAGGACATGTGGCTTCGACTTTGGCGGAAACATCATCATGTTTTCCACAGACAAGCAGATGGGATATCAGTGTTTTGTGAGCTTCTTTGACCTTCGTGACTCCAGCCAGATTGGTGAGGAATCTGGGCAATGCCGGCATGAGGTACTGAGGGGAAGTGTTGATAGCTGGAGCTGGTGCCATTCTGTCTGTCTCCTTCCTTCCTTCCTGCAGAGAAAAATGAACCTTACATGAAAATCCCCTGCAGTGACTCTAAAATCACAAGTGCTGTGTGGGGCCCTCTAGGGGAATTCATCATTGCAGGACACGAGAGTGGAGAGCTGAACCAGTTCAGTGCCAAGGTCAGTGTGATAAGAAGCAGCGTCTCCTTTGGCATCTGTGCGTGGGGGAGGATACTGCAGTGTTCCTGTTGTGGTCACGGGGCAGAATATGGACTCTTGGCTCAAACTAGCAGACTTGTGGTTAAAATATATGATTTCCCTGAGCAAGGCTAACGTAGCAATGTCAGCCCTGCAGCTGACAGTGAGAGCTCCTCAATTGTTTTTAATGGAGAAGTCATATGTACAGGGGATCTTTCTCAGCTCGCTTCACTTGCTAGTGCACTGAAACTGCCTTGTTTACGCTTCAGTCAGGGGAGCAGCTTTCAAACATCAAGGAGCACACTAAGCAAATCAATGATATTCAGACCTCCAGGGACATGACCATGTTCATCACTGCCTCCAAGGACAACACAGCCAAGGTGAGGCCTCCTATCGGTAACGCAGTGCACTCTTGACGCTTCCTTTCAGGACCCTGCTCAAAGACATGGCTATCTCAGAGGTTTACCACTTAGAAATTTGGGTAAGCGTAAAGTCAAAGCTCAGTGGGAAAGTTCAGCGAGCAAGGGGACACCCTGCCGTGTTAGATTAGCAGACAGACGTTGGAGACAATATTACAAAAACTGAGATTGCAGTTTGCTGCTTCCAGGAGGTGACAGAGGTGGGAGTTACCCTAGGCTGGTATTTTGGGATTCTGTGGAAGTATCTTGGGGATTTTAGGTGCACGTGAATGGCATTAGAGACAGGAGAGGTAACATCCGCTCAGGTGAAGACTGGCAGCCGGGGGCTGGGATTTGTATGAGTTAATTGCTGTACAATTGTTGCTGCTTGTGCAAAAAACACAGGGTCTGCTTGTCAGTTGATGATTCTCCCAGCCCTTTTTGCAGAATAACTCTCTCTCCCTTTTGCCTCCTAGCTATTTGATTGCACAACACTCGAGCATCTGAAGACATTCCGGACAGAGCGACCAGTGAACTCTGCAGCACTCTCCCCTATTTTTGATCATGTAAGAATGATCTTATTCATGTGGTAATGGTCTTACTGTGATCCCTGCATTGTCCTGGGTAGTGGGAGTAGGAGGGATGTGCATGTGTGTGTAGGAGAGTGCCTTGTGGTTGCTGGTGTGGGGATGTGAGGAGGATTATAGAAAATGATGCTCGTCCTATTTATTAGTGTCCCTAATGCTGCCACCTTTCACCGTCTTTGTGCTCACGCTGTATCCTTGGTGCAGAAAGCCCTGCAAGCACGTACGCTGCGTGTTGCTTCATCGTTTGTCAGTGTGTGCTGATGGGGGCTGGCGTGAAGCAGGTGCCTATAAACTAGTTTCTGGCAGAGGCAACATGGTGGGGAAAGGCTGCTGAGCCCCGCAGCAGGGGAGCGGGGACTTTCCGAGCAGTGCAGCGCGTCAGAGAAGCGTGGCTGTGAGCCTGGCCTGCTCGGAGTTGTTGTAGCGTCTGTCGGCATAAGCGCTTGTGCGGTTATGGTGCTGCCTGGCACCTCTGACTGCGTCAGCCACCCTATTGCCTGCCTCGCAACTCCAGCTGGGGATGCGAAGGGGAGGGAGGCGTGCTGAGCTCCTTGGGAAATTCTACCAGGAAGGCCCAGTGTCACCAGCCCAGTCTGTGCTAAAAAATGTGGTTGTGGGGTGGGCCCAGGGAACTCAGCTGCTGTCAGCTGTAGGAAAGAAGGCTTTGTGTTCTCTATCTGCAAAAGAAAAAAAAAAAGCATCTGGACAGGAACTTCTCTGGGGCTGGAGCCAGGCCTGTTAACGGCTTTGTGGGATCTGCCGAGTTAGTAGGAGGCTTCCACAAGACTTGGCTCTCTGCTTTCCTGGCTCCTGCTGGCTGCATGAGGTGTAAGCAGCACTGACGTGTTGTGGCTTCTCCCCTTTGCAGGTCGTGCTTGGTGGTGGGCAAGAGGCCATGGATGTGACCACGACCTCCACCAGGATTGGCAAATTTGAAGCGAGGTTGGTCCTTTTCCTCACTCAGAGTAGTCCTCACAGCCTGGGGATGCTGGTCCCAGAGCATCTTGCTCCTGGCAGAGTTGAAAGAGTCATTAAAATTGCAGAGCTTTTTTGAGGAAACCCTGGTTGTGCCCAATCAGGGCTCCCAACTTCTGTCTACTGTTTAAACCGTCTTCTTTCTCCCAGGTTCTTCCACTTGGCTTTTGAAGAAGAGTTTGGCAGAGTGAAGGGTCACTTTGGTCCGATAAATAGCGTTGCTTTTCACCCTGATGGGAAGAGGTGAGGATTTGGGCGGGTCTTGTAGCCTGGCCAGGTCAAGCTTATCCTTGCTGAAACGTGGGCTGTGGCTGGCATCACAGGAGCTCTGCAGGCGGAACGGACCCAGCCCCTTGCCAACCTTGCTGCCTCCCTCAGAGCTGGCTGGGGGATTCACTTACGCCCTGCTGCATGTTTTGGCTATGTCTCTGACTCCTCAGACTAACTCTGACTCGCCAGGCCTGGGCGAGAACTGGCTGCTTAACACACCTGATTTATGCTTCTTGACTTCTAACTTCTCAGTTTTCCTCTCTTATCTTCCTGAGTGCCCCAACAGGCAAAACTGACCTCTCCTGGGAGATGGTAGATAATTTTCTAACATCACTTCTGCAGAAGCGCCCTCAGGGCTCTGTCCCTTCAGGCTTTTCCCCCTTCCCCTGCAGACAGGATGCTTTGACATCCACCTTGCACAGATTATACCTGGTTGGGCTTTCATCTTGTGACTCCTTTGTTAGTTTGGAGAGGGAGTTGGGAAAACAGACTCTTAACATTTGCTGGTATAAACCTAGAAGCAGTGAGCTCCTGACAAGGATCAGTGATTTTTGTCTTGTCTCTTCTCCCGTGCAGTTACAGCAGTGGTGGTGAGGATGGCTATGTTCGCATCCATTACTTCGATCCCCAGTACTTCGAGTTTGAATTTGAAGCTTAAAGGAGCGCTTCCTCTCCTCTTCTTTCCTCTTCCACTCCATTTCCCAATCCATTGGCTTCTCTGCAGAACTGTTGTAAGGCCTGAAGTTAGTCTGCGCCACAGGAAGCAGCAGGAAGCAGTTAGCAGCGCTCTCTGGGGCTGCGTGAAGGTGGTGATCTAGGAACCAAACCAGCTCAAAACGGCAGGACTGGCTTTCGTGTGAGGTAGAGTGAAGGCAGGGAAAGGAGTTTGGTTGGCTCCCTGCCTGCCCCTGTGCATGCTAACTTTCTGCCCTGCTGGACATATTTATATATCCGTGGGGGGAAAAAAAAACAACAGGAAATAAACAGAAATCTTTCGTAAACACACTGAAAAGTGCCTCTGTTCTTTTGGCCCGGGAAAAAATTAACCCGACTTCTTTGCTTTCCCGGCTATGTTGGCTATCTCGCTCTCTCCGGCTGTCAGAAGACAGCAATGCTGTTTTTCCCTAGGCTTCTCTCCTCCCCCAGGCCCAAGTTAACTCTCTCCCAGTGATGATCTACATCTATTATACAGGCCAAACCCTAGAAATGCTGAATCTGTAAACAGGCTGGAAAGGTAGTAGCCAGTAATTGTTTTCCAGATGACATGCGCGCCCAGTTCTGGTGCTTTGTTTATTTGCTGGACTGACCCTGAGCCAACTTTCCTCATGGAACAGTTATTTCCTGCACTAGGAAGACTGTGTTGCAATTCCTGATCCTTCCACCCTCCTTCCCCGTGTCTGTCTGGAGGGGTGGTTTGCATCTCTTTCCTTCCTCGATACTGGGTTCAAGGGCAGATTTCTCAGGCTGGCTCCCAGTTCGGAGTGACTGATGCAACACTTAAGCCACAGCCAATGTTCCCTTTGTGCAGAGGGTGGTGTGAGTTTAGCGTGTTTTGCCACTTTGTTTTTGCTGCGCCAACCGTGCCTCAGTCACGGGGCAGGGGCTGCGAGCCAGACGCAGCAGCAGGAGCTGTCGGAGGCTGTTGCTGCTGGGCACATCAACCTCTTGCTGTCTCCTGCCCTTCTGCTCCGCTGGTGGTCCAGGTGCAAGAGTTGCTGGGGGAGAAAGTGGGAACAAGCCCTGCTTCCGAGGAGCCTGCTCCTGCTGCTCCCGAGAGCTGTGCTGCCCAGCTCCTGCCTGAGGAACACCCCGCACGGAAAGCAGGAGCGGACTGCGATAGAGACCACTTTACTGTAACAAGCTCAGTCTGCGCTGCCCGAAGGCTGCTAGCGTGAGTCCGTCCCACCCTCCCAAGGATGTCCTTTGCGCTCCAGGCGTGTCTGAGCTCCTCCGGGCGTGTGTCCCGCACAGCGCTTCCCGCGGAAAGCTGCAGCGTCTCTTGCCTGGGCCTGGCAGCCTGCAGCAGCCCGAGGTGGCGGGAGGAAGCGACAGCGCTGTGACCTGCACCTGCCCCGCTGTGGTCACCCGTGCTGCCGCTTATCACTCGTTTTCAGTCCTGGTAGCAGTGTCTGACAGTGACTGGCTCTGTCTGTTCCCCACGCTCTCCTCGATGGAGGCGTCGTCGTTCTCTACTAGCCGCTGGATCTCTGCCCAGGCCTCGTCTAGGTATTCGGATGAACGGATCCATCGGAGGAATAAACCTAGGAGATGGTGGGTTTATGCGTTATGTTAGCTGTGCCGTAGCCCTGTGAGGAGAGGGAAAAGCAGAGCAGTCTCCCCGAACCCGCCTCGCCTGACCCGCCGAGCTCGGGGAGTCTCGGGGATGAGTGTGGCTCCCTGCAGCGGATCGAAGATCTGCTTCAAGCGCTGCTGCCTGAGGGCTGCGACCGAGCCCCCCTTACCCTGCCAGAGCTGGATGCTCTGGGGCTCCACGGAGGGCCAGATGACCAGGGCGTTGTGCGAGTACAGAGGGTTCAGGTACTTCTTCTTCTCCTCGGGCTGGTTCAGCCAGGCCCAGAGGGAGTGTGTGCTCTCCTTCACTTTGCACAGGCACCTGCAGGAGCGTTGAGTTGTGTTTCAGCCCTCGCCGGGGGTCCTGGGACCAGGTTTACCCCGAGCTGTTGCTGTGAGGGCTCCGCTCTGTTGGGGCCAAGGTAAACGGATGGGCTGGGGGACCCGTGTTGGCACGGGGGTGAAGGCCTGCGGGGCCGGACAGCCGTATCCAGTAGCCTAACCCCCTGCCCTGGTTGCTGCAGGGGGGGGCGGGGTGCTGGCGGCTCTGG